AGACGTTTCTTGTAGTTGGCCACCAGGTTTGCACACATCTCAGGAGGGATTCTGTCCCACTCTTCTTTGCAGATCTTCTCCAAATCATTAAGGTTTCGAGGCTGACGTTTGGAAACTCGAACCTTCAGCTCCCTCCACAGATTTTCTATGGGATTAAGGTCTGGAGACTGGCTAGGCCACTCCAGGACCTTAATGTGCTTCTTCTTGAGCCACTCCTTTGTTGCCTTGGCCGTGTGTTTTGGGTCATTGTCATGCTGGAATACCCATCACGACCCATTTTCAATGCCCTGGCTGAGGGAAGGAGGTTCTCACCCAAGATTTGACGGTACATGGCCCCGTTCATCGTCCCTTTGATGCGGTGAAGTTGTCCTGTCCCCTTAGCAGAAAAACACCCCCAAAGCATAATGTTTCCACTTCCATGTTTGACGGTGGGGATGGTGTTCTTGGGGTCATAGGCAGCGTTCGTCCTCCTCCAAACACGGCGAGTTGAGTTGATGCCAAAGAGCTCCATTTTGGTCTCATCTGACCACAACACTTTCACCCAGTTCTCCTCTGAATCATTCAGATGTTCATTGGCAAACTTCAGACGGCCCTGTATATGTGCTTTCTTGAGCAGGGGGACCTTGCGGGCGCTGCAGGATTTCAGTCCTTCATGGCGTAGTGTGTTACCAATTGTTTTCTTGGTGACTATGGTCCCAGCTGCCTTGAGATCATTAACAAGATCCTCCCGTGTAGTTCTGGGCTGATTCCTCACCGTTCTCATGATCATTGCAACTCCACGAGGTGAGATCTTGCATGGAGCCCCAGGCCGAGGGAGATTTACAGTTATTTTGTGTTTCTTCCATTTGCAAATAATCACACCAACTGTTGTCACCTTCTCACCAAGCTGCTTGGAGATGGTCTTGTAGCCCATTCCAGCCTTGTGTAGGTCTACAATCTTGTCCCTGACATCCTTGGAGAGCTCTTTGGTCTTGGCCATGGTGGAGAGTTTGGAATCTGATTAATTGATTGCTTCTGTGGACAGGTGTCTTTTATACTTTTTTCCCTCACTGTATGTGCAATAATAGTGTTTAACATGATTTTTGAATGACTACCTCATCTTTGTACCCCACACATGTAATTATCTGTAAGGTCCCACAGTCGAGCAGTGAATTTCAAACACAGATTCAACCACAAAGACCAGGGAGGTTTTCCAATGCCTCGCAAAGAAGGGCACCTATTGGTAGATGGGTAAAAAATTATAAAAAGGAGACATTGAATATCCTTTTGAGCATGGTAGACCCAGTCACTACAAAGCTGAAGGAGTCCTTCCTAACTCAGTTGCCAGAGAGGAAGGAAACCACTCAGGGATTTCACCACGAGGCCAATAGTGACTTTAAAACAGTTACAGAGTTTAATGACTGTGATAGAAGAAAATTGAGAAAGGATCGACAATATTGTAGTTACTCCACAGTACTAACCTAAATGACAGAGTGAAAAGAAGGAAGCCTGTACAGAATACATGTATTCCAAAACATGCATCCTGTTTGCAATAAGGCACTAAAGTAAAACTGCAAAAAATGTGGCAAAGAAATTAACTTTATGTCCTGAAAGCAAAGGGTTATGTTTGGGGCAAATCCAACACAACACTGATTACCATTCTTCATATTTTCAAGCATAGTGGTGGCTGCATCATGTTATGGGTATGCTTGTCATCGGCAAGGACTAAGGAGTTTTTTTGTTGTTGATAAAAATAAACGGAATAGAGTCAAGCACAGGCAAAATCCTAGAGGAAAACCTAGTTCAGTCTGCTTTCCAACAGACACATTCACCTTTCAGCAGGACAATAACCTAAAACACAAGGCCAAATATACACTGGAATTGTTTACAAAGACGACATCGAATGTTCCTGAGTGGCCTAGTTACAGTTTTGACTTAAAACGGCTTGAAAATCTATGGCAAGACTTGAAAGTGACTGTCTAGCAATGATCAACAACTAACTTGACAGAGCATGAATAATCTGCAACTATTGTACAATCCAGGTGTGCAAAGCTCTTAGAGACTTACCCAGAAAGACTCTCAGCTGTAATCGGTGACAAAGGTGATTCTAACATGTATTGACTCGGGGTTGAACATTTATGTAATTAAGATATTAGTGTTTTATTTTTCATAATTTTTTAACAAATATTTGCATTTTTCTTCCACTTTGGCATTACATAGTATTTTGTGTAGATCATTGACAAAAAATGACAATTAAATCCCACCTTGTAACACAACAAAATGTGGAAAAAGTCAAGGGGTGTGAATACTTTCTGAAGGCACTGTACATTCTAAAATGGACCCTTGGCTAAGCCCAGACCCCCTTGGTTACTGTTTTAACCTCGGACAACATTTTACCGGGAAGCTCAATTCCCCATTCAACTACTGGCGAAATCCCCTCACAATGATCTCAAACTATGTTTTTAATACCCAATTAAATCAAACACAGACTACCCTTTGCTAATCAGGGAACTCTCGGTATGTTGTGGTGGACTGTCATTACAATTGCTTTACGGGAACCTGGTAAAATTATGTTAGTAGTGTGGCTAGCCACTGAATGGCTTTGAATTCACTGTCAGCATGCAGTCAAAGCTACTAACCACTTTTGGAGCTAACTAGTGCGCTCAAATCGTATCCTGATGTCGACAGCAGATGGGAGTTGTATTCATAACATGGCTAACTTAGCCAGCTAACTTGCATTTCGAGTTATATTAAGTGGCTAGCTAGCTAGCAACATTTGGTGGTCAATGAGACAGAGCTAGCTAGCTAACCAGCTAAAAAGCTAGCAAACAATGTAACAAAAGTATAATTTCAGATTCTAAAAATACTCCATCAACAGTCTCTGCATTTCAGGAATCACAGTAGCAAGTACCCCAGAAGGGTATACTACGTACCTGGTTTGAGGAGTTAGCGAGGTAACTTTGGTAAACTCTGAGTTCAACTCGGGATAACAAGTACCACGAAAGTGGCTCACCTTTTAGCCAGATACAGGTCATTTCTATGGCAACAAATGATTTAGAACTAAGCTGCTCCAGGGCAGGCAAACTCAGGGCTAATGAAGTGTCTGAGCTGCGACTTGAGGACCAATGAAATCAGATTCCCTCCCTCATGCAAACATTGCATCATCATCTCCTTTATTTGAGGAAGACGACTGATTTAAATATTTTATTAATCAAATGTTTTGTGTAAAAAAAAATCTTCATACTTATACACCCATCACATTACATACAGTATTTAGTAATGACAGGATGCATTAGAAAGTTCACGTACCGTAAAACTTTAGTATGACGTTATAAAATAATTCTATAGACAGGAGTGGTGAAAAGGGTGATGTATGCATTGATTAGCACACCAAAGCACATCAAAGACGGCATTAACGATAAATAATAATAGAAAGATGGCACTTGTAATAGCCTATTTCACATCACAGCCTGCTTAATTTGTAAGATAACTTTTCTTGCATGTTGATTTCGGCTAAAATGAAAATGTTGCACTGCCTCGCCCATGGATTGATGTTTCAGCATTGTCTCAATGAAGAGTTTGGCGTTCGACTAGCCACGTGCAATATGCACGCACAGTTACAAGCCTGCTAGAGTTAGCGGCAGGCGAATGAGCAATATCCACCTTCGTAATACGGATGAAGCCTGAGCTGGAATGTGAAGCTAAATGAAGATAGCTAATTTCAGAAAAGCCTGGGTACATCTAGCTGTATACCCCTCTGGTACGCTGTTCAATTATTTAGCCATATAAACAATTTGGTTTTGGATGAAAACTCAGTTTTTGCAATGCCCTCAATGGCTTCCATGCGTTTAAAACGTGCCACAGATGCCTGTACTGTGTTCAAAGAAACAACACAAATGACACAATGTCAGTATGACCAATGCATTTCTTACTGAGGTGGTGAGATGGCCTAATAAGCATGCAGGCATAAGCTAATAGTGGTCACAGTGCATACATACAGCATACATACAGTACCACACTGTATAGGCCAACTTAAAAAGTAGGCCTACAATCATAACAGAGGGCTTGCAGATCCAATGGGAAATAGGATATAATAAGACATTAATGAGTTAAGGAAACGGTTTCCTTAAATTAACTGTTCCCTTAAAGTATTCTGTTCATGGCCAATAAACAAACTGCTTACAATAATGAAATCCACAAAATCATCCCCAAACCACCCAAACTCCTCTCTATCCAAATACTTAAAAGTTGTGATCCAGCAACAGACAGAGAGTACTGACTGACATGGAACCATCCAAAACCAACTTCAATCACTTCAGAAAATAAATCCCCCCACAAACCAGCAGCTGACCCAGTTAAATGTCAAGTACAAAGTTATTTCTTTAAAGGATTGGAACACTACAGATGGATAATTCCCTGGCCTCTGCTCTGCAGCTTCCTTCCTCCATCCAATGACAGCTCCCTGAAATACTTTGTCAAAATCCAAAAAGCACAGAGCGCCTCGCTGCCCGATCACTCACTCCTCGTCACTACTTTCAGACCCTTATCAAGACACATTTGTTACTGCCCGACAAGGATGAGGATATGTATGGAAAATACAACAATGAAATACGTCAAGCCTTCTTTCCACACAGGCAGGAGAGGCTGCCGGGCCCACATGCCCAATGAGGCCTGTCAGAGATTAATAGCACTGACTATACCTACCTGCCATATGGAGAAACTGTTCAGAGTTTCTTTCCTCTGAGGGAACAACTTTGTCATAATAAGCAGCACAAAAATTACAAATGTAGAACCCAGGTTTGTTCTCCAATGCATGGCTATTCAATTATTTTCCTTTTCCTTATTAAGGACTCCCAGGGTCTTTTTAGGCCCCATTGTTGGAGTTCCAATGTGGAGCTGCTGGACACGACTCAGACAAGCTGTGCTTTGCTTTTCAATGGCATGGGCCAAAGCCTTATACTTATATACAAATATAATGTTTTGATATACAAATATAAGGCTTTTATATCAAAATATAAGGCTCAGGCATGTGCCATTCCTATTGTGTAGTTGAAAACTGAGCACATCAATGTGCAGGAGGGAATTTGAGCAGAAAAGTGGCTTACCGGTCCAAAGCTGTTGCTGTCCAGACTGTGGCCGTGATGGTCCCCCTCGATCCAAAAGTGGCCATCAGGGACCCTGAGATAGCGGTTCTTATAGCCAAGCGTCCTGCAGAGAGAAATGGAGGGCGGAGGTTTGGATCATGGATAAAACACATTAGCCAGGTTAATACAACCCACATTTACTTCAGAACCTAGCTATGAAAGAAAGGCAGTCATTAACATTGATTGAGCTGCGGGATCAATTGAAAACAACAATAAACACATTGAAATTAGACAAGACAAAAGGCAAAATTTAAATCGAGAATAAAGTTAATCTACCTACAGTGAGGGAATTAAGTATTTGATCCCCTGCTGATTTTGTACGTTTGCCCACTGACAAAGACATGATCAGTCTATAATTTTAATGGTAGGTTTATTTGAACAGTGAGAGACAGAATAAAAACAAAACAAAAACAGAAAAACGCATGTCAAAAATGTTATAAATTCATTTGCATTTTAATGAGGGAAATAAGTATTTTTTTGTTGTTATTCTGTCTCTCACTGTTCAAATAAACCTACCATTAAAATTATAGACTGATCATTTCTTTGTCAGTGGGCAAACGTACAAAATCAGCAGGGGATCTAATACTTTTTTCCCTCACTGTACATCTGCATTCAGGAAATGGACATTTTCGTTTCATTATGGTTTATCCCCTTTCTACTAAATCATCCATCTGCCAGGCATCCTCCCTTTAGATTCGACTATTATCTTAAAGTCAAATCTAATCTAATCAGATGAGGACAAACATGCTTTGTGTGTAATGACTAATGAGATATGGACAGGACAGCTCACTCCCTTAGGTCTAGTCTCTGGTTGCGTCCCTTAATGGTACACTACTCCCTATATATAGCCCCTTCGGCCCTGGTCAAAAGTAGTACACTATATTAGGGAATAGGGTCCATTTGGGACGTAACCTCTATCTGATCGGTTCCCCTCCAGACTAGTTTAGCTTCAATCAACTATTTTGCGGAGTGAGGACAGGGTGGTATACACCATCAATCACCTGGGCACTTAGCTGTGACTGAGCCCTGATGCATGGTTCATATCAGGAACATTGTAAATTACGGGGAAATGACTTTTTAAATGACAATTCTTCTCCTATTCCTTTCCAGGGCAATGTTACAGGAGCCTAAATGACTACTGCTTAGACCTTGGACCAAAATATTGATTTGGCTGCTGGGGAAAAAAAATGTTTTTATTGTCACATACACTGGATAGGTGGTGAAATATGTTGTTTTACATGGTCAGCCATAGTAGTATAGCGCCACTGGAGCAAATTAAGGTTAAGTGCCTTGCTCAAGGGCACATCAACACATTTTTCACCTTGTCTGCCTGGGTATTGCAACCTTTCGGTTACTGACCCAACGCTCTAACCGCTAGGTTACCTGCTGCCCTGTCTGTTCTCCAGCAAACTGAAGTTCAGTGACTTTGAAATGTCAGGGGTTAGGCCTACATACAGTATCTGAACACAAACAATACAAGAACAAAATACTGGCTACTTCAAAATCTAGTGATTATATCCAAATAGGGCCTATCTTATTTGTACAGTAGAATAGTCTGCAGTAACACTTTATAATAACTTTAAGGAGACATTTGTTATCTATTTATAAGCAGTGTTCATATACATGTATTAATAAATGATTATTCAATGGGGTATACACTACATACTTATTAATAGTTTATCAAATAGTTTATTAATGAACATTATTATAAAGTGTTACCTAATCAGCTACCCCTGCTATGCTCAGTAAAAATAACCGTTTTGTGGGAAGACAAAAACAGCCTGCATCCCAAATGGCACCCTATTCCCTACATAGGGCACTACTTTGACCAGAGCTTGTTGGGTCCTGGTCAAAAGTAGGGCACTAAATAGGAAATAGGGTGCCATTAGGGATGCACTAAAGCAAACAGAGTTCAAAGCGAATATACAGACTCCTGTATTAATGCTGTTTGCATGTGACTCACTTCCTGGCAGTGTCTAGCAGCTACAAAGGGCTTAGGGTGCGTTCAGGAGTTTGGGCAGACTCTCAGACAGTCTCAGCATTGAGTTGTGTTAAAAAGTTATGTGCTCTCTACCTCTGTTTTGTGGGTTTAAACAATAGCTGCCTGGTACAGTGGAGGTTTGATGGAGGTTAATGGGATAGGCCTATAGGGCACAGATACACATGATAATGGTCATATGAAACACGATAATGATGATGTGTAAAAGCTTGAGGTAAATTGGATAGGTCAAGTCAAAGGCTCAGTTTCAATATCTAGACTAAGAAGAATACCACTGCGAATGAATCAAATGTGTTGGACATGCATCCTAAGTGGTATGCTATCATGGACATGGGAACACACAGCCATAATCTTGTCCACCAGCCATGTCTGACAGCCTGCCTGGCACACCACACTGGGTTGTTCTGTACCTCTATGAACACCAGAATCTCCATCTTGAGGTAGCTATTCCTCATACACTTCATATGAATATACTCCACATTTCCCTCAATGTATGTATTCCAGTCATCAGCTTTACACAGCGTACCAACAATTTCCCTGACAATACAGTGGCGTAACACTTGGCCTTTCTGTTTTTTTTAAAGCTGTGATTCGATTGCAACGCGATTTATGTCCCGTAAGCCATCATTGTTTGGAGATGAATCTCCGAAACGGCCCTCTATATCTCTGAGGAGGGGCTCAGTTCAGAGGGATACACATAGCACACGCACACACACACACACACACACACACACACACACCACTCAGAGGGCTGTAAATGGCTGAGAGGCCTCTTTCCTGTCTCTGTGCATGGCGAGATTAAAACCATAGCTGTGATTTATAGCATGGCTGGCCCCACAGGCTAACACACATGCACACACACACCAGCCTCAGCCAGTGTGGGCAATCATCAAACCCCCATGTTAATTATTCATCTATCTCCTCCCAGGCAATACAAGTGACTCGTAATTTGTTCAGCGGCACCCGTCACAAATAGTTGGCAGAGTGATTTACATGGCGACATTGTGTTATGAGTAGTGGCACCCGAAGATTTGAAGCTGGTTGATAAGAAATACTGGGGTTTAAGATGGAGCTTCGAATTCATGAGTAAACAAGCAGTTGTCTTCTCATAGGAAGTCTCTGCATAGGCCTTTAAGACACCCTTTATTTTATGTTATTTTATTGCCTTTTGTTTCGTTTTTCCTTTATAATGTGTTGTGGGTTTTAAGTTTGATTTGATTTGATAAAGCTATGGGGGAAAAAACGAATTATGTACGTACTTGATGAAGTCTCCCTCAAGTGCTATGACTCGCTTGATGATCTTCTGCTGGGGGTTCTTGGGAGACCTGAAACAATAAATATACAGTATATCAATGAAATATATGATAAAGATAGATAAATGTATATGAGGTCATAACACCAATAAACCATGACGTACTGTCTGTGCTGTAGTGACCCTATTCACTCTACTCATTAATAAAAGTAAATAAAAAAACACTATTCACAACACTAGATTGAACTGGAATCAGTGTTCCTCACCAGCAGACTAAGAAACTGACTATACTGCAGTGAGTGTTGGGTGGGTTCAAGTACCAGGATCTTATTCCTCCTCCTTCCCTCTCTATCTCTCAACATGTGGACCTCACACACCACAGGGGAACACAAACATAGCAGTACCATGGTAGACAGAGCTCATTCGCTTTATGTTACTAATGAACCCTTAATAACCCACAATGCTCAGTTCATGAATTCTACAACCATTATTGCCATGCTGATGACCTCCTTCTCCAAGCCACGAAATACTTCTAAGTAGCCAACAAAGACAAGATTAATTTGATATCAACAATGGCAGTCCTTTTGAGGCCATACAAAGCAATGGCATTCACATTCTGGATACAAAATGAGTCTAATAAACGGGTAATATAGAAAAGATTTGTCGTTTTTTACTCTCTCGCTTGGACGTGATGTTCAAGTCCATGATCAATTATATTACAATGATCAAAATTCTTCTATTCTTTCCACAGGTTTTCTAGATAAATGTGAGGCTACCAGGGAGCCAGAGATACACAGGTGTTCAGTTCAGAGTGTCTGGCCAAATGAGGGACATCTACACAAAGGCATTGAATAATGACCCACAGAAACCGCAGTTTGTTAAACGTTGCCTTCAAACGCCCAGAGAATCAAACAGAAATGCCAGTCTTAATAAGAAGCCACATCCATTCTCCATTCCTCCTCTGCTCTCTCCCGCCCTCAGTGTCCCTCCCTCACTCTCTCTTTAACACACACACTGACACATATACACAAGCACACTCTCTCTGTCACTCTCTTTCTTCCACTCTCTACCACGCATACACACACATTTGCTCTCTCTCCTCCTCCACATCCCCCCTCCCTCTTTGCCTCAGGAATACAGGGGATCATGACTGATTGACAACCTGCTCAGCCAATCAGAATTACCAGCAGCTCAGAGAACCCGCAAGCTAAACAGGGGTTGGCCTGTCTCTAGCGAAGCTGTGTGTGTGGATTAGGGCTGTGACGGTCATGGATTTTTGGATGGCGGTAATTGGCCAGCCAAATGTCCGCGGTGCTACATCAGATGACCTGGCCTCCACAATCACCCGACCTCAACCCAATTGAGATGGTTTGGGATGAGTTGGACTGCAGAGTGAAGGAAAAGCAGCCAACATGTGCTCAGCATATGTGGGAACTCCTTCAAGACTGTTTGAAAAGCATTCCACATGAAGCTGGTTCAGAGAATGCCAAGAGTGTATATTTGAAGAATCTCAAATATAAAAAATATGTTCATTTGTTGAACACTTTTTTGGTTACTACATGATTCAATATGTGTTATTCCATAGTTTTGATGTATTCACTATTATTCTACAATGTAGAAAAAGCCTTGAATGAGTAGGTATGTCCAAACTTTTGACTGGTACTGTGTGTATATATATATATATATATATATAAAAATTGTTTTAAGCACATTTTCTCCTCCGCTCCTGACTGCATGTGCTGCCATAGAAATAGAATGAATAGAACGGGCATCCCTATTTATGATGGTATAATGTGTGGACTGGCGGCCACTGCGAGGAGCAAAGCAGGAAGTAAAAGCAGGAAGTGTATCGATCAATATGTGCTGTGATTTGTTGATTCAACTCAACTGACATTACAAAAAATACATTCCAATGCATAAGCCACATCAGTTAACATAATTTGAATGAACATTCTACATTACCATGAAAATTATTGCATCATAATACCAGGCAGCCATTGCGAGTGTATCCAGGGTTTTTTCTGGATCAAAAAAGAGCTTACGTGGTGGTCATGGCATGGAGCTTGGCAATGGGCTTAGTTAGCGTGGCTGAATCTTAGAGACTATTTTAGAGGCCCCCTTGCCCACATCTTGGCGGTGTAGAGATTATTTTTGCATGTTGAAGTCAATTTCCTGCAATTCTACACATTTTGCCATGGAGCTAAGAGAAAATGTTGCAGTTTTAAAGCTAATTTCTTGGAATTCTATGCATTTTGCCATGGCTAATGCTGTGTTCTTTTGCTCAAACATAATAACAAATTAAATCCTGCTAAATGCATTGTTTTGGGAATTTTCTATTCTCCCTGACAATCTAGCTTTTATATAGGTGATTGATAGTTCTCAAAGATTATATTATAAAAAAATATATAGGTCCATTATCTTTTCTACATACACTATATATACAAAAGTATGTGGACAACCCTTCAAATTAGTGGATCCGGCTATTTCAGCCACACCCCATTGCTGACAGGTGTATAAATCGAGCTCACAGCCATGCAATCTCCATAGACAAACATTGGCAGTGGAGTGGCCGTACTGAAGAGCTCAGTGACTTTCAATGTGGCACCATCATACGATGCCACCTTTCTAACAAGTCAGTTTGTCAAATTTCTGCCCTGCCAGTGCTGCCCCGGTCAACTGCAAGTGCTGTTATTGTGAAATTGCTCGTAGACGTTTCCACAACGGCTCAGCCGCGAAGTGGTAAGCCACACAAGCTCACAGAACGGGACCACTGGGTGTTGAAGCACGGAGCGCGTAAAAATCATCTGCCCTCGGTTGCAACACTCACTACCGCGTTCCAAACTGGCTCTGAAAGCAATGTCAGCACAAGAACTGTTAGTCGGGACCTTCATGAAATTAGTTTCCACGGCCGAGCAGCCGCACACAACCCTAAGATCACCATGCGCAATGCCAAGCGTCGGCTGGAGGGGTGTAAAGCTCACCGCCGTTGTACTCTGGAGCAGTGGAAACGCATTCTCTGGAGAGATTACTCACGCTTCACCATCTGGCAGTCTGAAGAACAAATCTGGGTTTGGCGGATGCCAGGAGAACGCTACCTGCCCGAATGCATAGTGCCAACTGAAAAGTTTGATGGAGCAGGAATAATGTTCTGGGGCTGTTTTTCATGGTTCGGGCTAAGCCCCTGTGTTCCAGTGAAGGGAAATCCTAACGCTACAGCATGCAATGACATTCTAGACGATTCTGTGCTTCCAACTTTGTGGCAACAGTTTGGGGAAGGTGAGGTCCATACAGAAATGGTTTGTCGAGATCGGTGTGGAAGAACTTGACTGGCCTTCACAGAGCCCTGACCTCAACCCTATCAAACACCTTTGGGGTGAATTGGAACACCGACTGCGAGCCAGACCTAATCGCCCAACATCAGTGCCCAACCTCAATAATGCTCTTGTGGCTGAATGGAAGCAAGTCCCCGCAGTAATGTTCCAACATCTAGTGTAAAGTCTTCCCAGAAGAGTGGAGGCTGTTATAGCAGCAAAGGGGGGACCAACTCCATATTAATGCCCATGAGTTTGGAATGAGATGTTCGACGAGCAGTTGTCCACTTACTTTTGGTCATGTAGTGTACTTTACATCTGGCTTTAGTCGTTTATGTTTACACTGTTTGGACTTAGGCGTCACAAAAAAGCGCTTAGGAGGCCTGCCCAAGATTTTACCAGTCAAATTGCCAGGGTTAGAGGTTCCAAGCCTGTTCTTTCCATTCTGCTGTAGGGAGGGGGGCATTGCCAAGGCAACCAAAAACTTGTTTGCTACAGCACCTTGCTTGTTTCAGCAAGGAGCAACAAAGTTTTATCACATTGTTAAGAGTTCATGTGATCGCAGAAACGGACTCAACCACACGAATGCCCGGCCGTTCCGTCTTAAGTGAGCTGTTTGTTCCAAAACGTTTGTGTTATTAATAACGAAGGAGCTGACAGCAGTGGGGCAGAGTGATGGTTGATCAGCTGAGTGATCTGCTCTCTAACCGCCCTGGAGAAACAGAGGGATAGACAGAACAGCACCCGCCCCATCGCTCTGCTCTGCACACAGCGTCTTTAACTGAGCCTCTCTCTCTCTCTCTCTCTCTCTCTCTCTCTCGCACAGTGGAGAGGATCAGAGCTGGAGCTACCCATCTCTCCCTCCCGCTCCTGTTTCTCGCTCTCTCTTTCCCTCTGCCTCTCTCACAACGAAAGGAGAAGAAGACGCATGTTCTTGGAAATACACATGAAAAACGGCTGTGATCTGAGTCTCACGCTGTCATGCTGGACTGCTGTGTCCCAGCCATGAGGTGAATACCTGCTGCCGCTCAATACAGTCTGTGAGGGGCTCACTCCCACTGGTAAGTTACCATCTCTCTCGCCTATGTGTATGAGTCATATGTGGTTGGTTGGGGGGGGATAGAGGGCTGGTTTTCAGTGTGGCACTGCGGTAGTCCTTGAGTGTGGAGGGAGTTTGCAGCAGAGAAGGCAGAAGGCACAGCCTGCAGTTATGTGGGAGGCTTGGCTGAGGGGGAGGATTGAGGAAAGGGAAAGCTGCTCAGTCGTCCAACACAGGGTTTTGTTGTTGCTACTTTAGGCATGGTTAGGATGAATATGTAGGCGCTGCAGAGGTTTTAGAGAGGGAACTGCCTGTTATTGGCATCGGGCTTTCCCTTCTGGTGACATTTTTCTGGTGTATTTTGAAAGCAGTGAGACAGCTGTGGGTGTCAGGCTGGAGCAGAATGGACGCGGTGTTATCTCGGCAGCTTCGCTCTACAGGTACATTTCAGAAAAAGAACAGCCCTGATGTCTACTCGCCTCTGTGTGTTTGTCAGGGCTAGAACAGAAAGGAAGACAAGACAGGGAATCTGCCGTCAGTAGAAAATACGAGAATTTAACAAGGTAAACCAGCAATAAGCCTGAGGTAAAAAAGAAACCCCTCCGTTTTTCAGTGAAAGCACATCATAACACATAAATACTGTATGTGTCTACAGTTAGACACTATTTGGCTGTGTGTGCCAAGAGGAGGAAGATATAGGCTAAGAGGATTTCTTTAGGATT